AATAATAAAATAAATAAGTCAGGTTCTCTGACTAAGAACTTAAATACCACCCTATCAGGAGCAGTGTTATAGCACTCTCTTGGAAATCCTAGTCAACTAAGCCAGGGAACTGACTTCTGTTAATATTTGTTTCAGAGAGGAAGATGACCAGTGGGTGGAGGAACAGAAACTGGAGGGCCACAGCGACTGGGTGCGAGATGTGGCATGGGCGCCATCTATAGGCCTGCCGAAAAGCGTTATTGCCAGTTGTTCTCAGGTAGCCTCCGTTTTCCCAGTATGGGTTTTGTATTTCTAGACCTTGTGTATTAAATTTTCTCCCAATATTTAAAATTATTTACTTAGTTTAGACCAATAATGTATATGCTCATATAAGTATCATTGAATAAGCTGTAAGTGAAATGGTTTTTCATTTACAAAAATATGATTATTCCAGGACTGTCGTGTGATAATATGGACAAATGATGGAACAAGCAGCGCCTGGTCATCAAAAACGTTGCACAAATTTAACGACGTTATTTGGCACGTGAGCTGGTCTATTACAGGGAACATACTGGCTGTGTCTGGAGGAGATAATAAGGTTGGTTAAAGGGAAAAAAAGACATGCAATCATATATATATATATAAGCTAGGTGAAAGGGGAAATAGGTATGGGATAATTGATAAGGTAGTTAAAAGAGGTGGAGAAAGATATGATAAGAAAAGACAGGTGATAGTGCACATCAAGGTGTTACACTTTTTTTATAGTATGCATAAATTTTTGCTTCTGTATATCAAATATTTGGATAACTTTTTTTAAATATATCATGTATTCCGAATATAACATACACTTTTAAGGATATTTCAATATTTTGGCACACAGCAATGATTTAAATTTGACATGTGGACTATGCATGGCTGTAATATCAGCCATCAATTTCCAGAAAAATATTGGGCACAGTGTGCACTTATTAGGCATGTACACAGTAGTACTCTTCACAAACTTGTGGTGTATTCATTACTTATCTGATTATTAGATCATCCTTGTACTGAGTATATATGTATATTTCAGGTGAGCCTGTGGAAAGAGTCCCTGGAGGGCCAGTGGGCATGTATAAGTGATGTCAACAAAGGTCAAGGTCAGGTCACAGAGGCAGAACCTCAGGCTGCATAAACATCAGGAGAACTGGCATTGTGTGGCAATTACAGTTATGGACAATTAAATATTATCAGAAAGAAATCGAAAAGTTATTTTTAATGAAAGTGAGAAGTGTTTAAATGTCATTCGTTCATTCAAAATGTAAGCATCTTTGACAGTTTTCATCAGGAGAGAAATGGAGCATTATTCTTTTATGTTCAAAACTGGGTTAAGACAAAGTGAAAGATTTTCTGCAGTTGCTGATAAAAATGTTCATATAGTTTGGCTGAAAAATATAAAATGTTTGTAAATTCTCCAAATTTTTTTTCTCTTGATATGTCTTTAAAGCAGAAATGTTTTTGAATGAGCCCTAAAGCACAATTATCATTATAGCAGCCCACTTTATTATAACTACAAACAAAAGCTTAGGTAACGTTTTTGGCTAAGTTAAAGAAGTGGGGTACACTTGAGCCAGTTTGCTCCTGTAACGACATAGTGGACAGTTACCAGAAAGCTCAGTGTATATTATTTAGTAAGAGCACTACACTCATCAAGGCTTTTTTTTTACAAGAAGGGAAAGATATTGAGATCCAGCCTCATTTGTTTCCATAAAGAGATTTTTCATTTGATATGTGTAAAATTCTGTACATAAGTAAAAATCCAATGACATTTTATAGCATTTGATATTTAGGAATTTGAGAAAGTAGATTTCATTTTAGAAGGTGTAACACGTCTTGTTAGTCAGAGTCGAGTTAAAATAATTTAATCAGTGATTTAAATATAAAATAAACATTTTCCCTTGTACGCTTGGTAATTGAAGAGATGTAGCAAACAAAAAGAAAATACGATCAATATTCTAGCAACCCCCGAAGCCATTACCTGGTTTGTCAAAGAACGATATAGAGTTTGGAGTGTTATATTCAAAATATTGGAAAAGAAGCATGGGGGCGTCACTGTGCCAATTGATTATCCCTAGCAGGCTGTAATATAGGCCGTATTGAACCACCACTTTTAAAGTATATATTAAGTACATAATAAATGATTAAAATAATTTTTGTGTTTTCTGATGTCCCTTTGTGTGATACAATGAATAGTGAAGTTTGGCGTAGTCGAACGTTAATTTATGGCGACTGTTTAACACTAAATACTCTTACAAATTTGCTTGTAGCCTCGGATTCAATGCTTTTTTGACCAGGGCTCTGTATCTCGAAAGGTTCGCTATGTTGCGCAAGTGTCTCGATTCCATAACCGATTCTATTTTGAGATACGGGGCCATGGAATCGAGACGCTTGCGCACGTGCGCGACATAGCGAACCTTTCGAGATACGGGGCCAGGCTTCCTTAGCCTCGGATTCAGTGCTATATCTGCTGATCAGAAACCTTGCCCAATCACGTGATAGGGATGGTAGTCCCTAAGGAACTGTTGTCCGTTTCCCTTTATTCTGCACAGGTGATTTTCGCACCATATACGAAAATCGGCCCTAACCTGTACTCATCTAGAGACACCGGACTTCCATTCCAGGAACTACCATTCCACTCACAAGATGTCGTCATCGCAGAACGCGTGATGTATATACACACTACTGCAGCGTAAGAACAATATTGAAAACGGATATATACAAAACCCTGTAGGAAAAAAAAAAAGAAAATCGAGGTGAAAACTCTACTTTAGTTCTAATGAGTAATTTGACACGTGTCTCTATATACTACCATCTGATACATATTTTAATTTCTTTACATTTACTAGTAAACTTTATTCGATAAAAAGCGGATTCAGTCTAAAAACAATCATAATAATTGGATTTATTATAATGTCACCGATTCTTTATATGGACACATTTTTAGGCGTTTTCTTAAACGAGATCGACAGGGGGCGAGGGTGACATAAGCATGCGCTGATCCTCTATCATAAGTTACTTAAACCTGATATTTACAAAGATTGTCCATAGGTCTTTAATTATCTACGCTTATCGATCACCAGTCGGACGTTTGTCAGTCCACACTAACAGAAGGACCACTCTTCACTGACCAAGCAGTAACGATGTTCCGACTAATACTTACTGTAAGTTTTACAAGCTTGCACTTCTTTTTGACGGTTGGTTCTGAAACTGTTGCCCCTAAGACAGATGCAGGTTCTCTCCAAGGAAAGCCCGTAGCAGGATGCTCCTTTAAAGACGGTCAATGTGTGTACCAAGTCAATCTCGGCCACCGTGGAACGTGTGACACCACTGGCAAAGATGGAGACACAGCTCTGGTGAAGTTGGTGGAACTTCAAAATAAGCTTCTTGAACAGAGTCTGCTCACACAGGTGATTTTTCTTTCGTTGTGATGTTTTGCCATCACGTTGGGGAACTCGACCAATTTTGTAAGGGATAAAGGTAGCTGAAGATAGTAAAAATTTTAGAATATATTACATGTCAAGTTTTAAACTACTTAGTGCTCTAGATTTTAGAATAATACCAGAAAGCGAATTTCCCCAATTAAGTTAAAGCAATAATAACTCTTAGTTTCGGCCAAAAAATGAATTTTCCTGGAGTAAACAACAATTTTCCCATACTTACCAATGGTTAATGAATCCATTTTTACATTCAAAGTTAGTCCCTGGTTTTTTTCTAAAAAGTTTGGTTTTTTGTTAAAATCTCTTAAAGGATTTGCTTCATGACGTCAGAATGGCCTGAACGGAACANAAGAGATTTTAACAGAGTATAGACATCAATGGAGGTCACGTGGTCTAAAGACAAGTTCAGATATCAGAATAAAAGCTATAACTGCTGTTTTTTGGTAAAACAGAATATATTATATTTCTATGAGTTATTCACAAGGTTTTTACTGTGAAATATAGATATCATACGAAGAGTTATTATCCCTTTAAGTGTGTTTGTTTGCATGTAAATATATAAAGATTTATTTTAAAATTAACTGATAAAAAGGCGTTAAGGAGATAACCCCCCCCCCCCCCCCAAGGCTTTAATCCCTCGTTAAAACAGTGCCCTATGGTATCTCTCCAGGCGGTTTCTATGAAATACGACAACGTCACCATGGTAACCCAGAAGTTGCAGTCGGTCTTGAACAGTCTAGACGGAGTCACACATCGGGTTTTGCTACCCCTTCTACAAACCGCTGTTTCTGCAAACAATGCCACAAGAGCGGAGCTTGCGTCCGTGCTAACAAGACTTCATACCCTAGAGAAAGAGCAAGGGAATTTGCTGCTTTGGTTAACTAGAATTGAAAACGAAAGAGCTCAGCTCTTGTCGAAAGTAGATGCTTCTCCTCAGGGTAGGGCCATATTTTATTGTATGTGATACACTAGAGAGTTATCTGTAATTTTGATGATTGCCCTCGTTAATAAATGATTAGCTCAAATACCAAAGATCCTGCGTCGGTCAAAACATATCCATGAAGTGAAACGATTGTGGAGTTCTAGATTACGTTTCATTGCAAGAAATAAAAGTCAACTCTTCGCTTTACACATCAAGGTGATTTGATTCTTAAAAATTAAAATATAATTTTGACGACCAGAAAGCATTGAGATCATGCTAATCAGCACGGAATTGGGTCATGGTTCTCGAACATTGTTTCATCCCATGTTGCATTATCAGTTTATTCTAGCTGCTCCGAGTGGAAGAGAAATGGTCACCACCAAGACGGCCACTATTTACTGGACGTGGACGGTAAAGGCGGCGTTCCAGCTTTCTACGTGTGGTGCACCATGACGTCATCACCACCTACGGCGTCCATCGGCCACGACCAAGGTCTCCGAACTAAGACGGATGGTCATGAACCAGCAGGATCACACGTTTGTATGTTTTTCTCACCTTGAATTTCTGAATGACTCGTTTAAGTTCCTTTTTTATCTGATGAGCAAATCAAACATAATTTATTACAATTATTAAAACACCAGTAAGCACGATCGAATATATTAGCTAAATATTTCATTAAAATGACTTTTGATTGTTTGCTATAGCCTACTTTTCTCAAATGCCCATAGTCAAATTCACCTGTTCACATTCCACCTAATTAAGTTTCTTAAGTATAAAAACCTTTGATTGGGGTTAGGGAGATTGTTCGGCCATTAACAGTAAAACATAACAAGACACTTTATAAAATCGTCCAAATTCAAATTGGCGTTGCCTAACTGCTTCAATAGGACATATATCTTTTATTTTTCCATCTCACAGTTCGTGTTTTGTATGACGTCACCATCAGGCAGCTTACAGCCCTGATGGCCAACTCGACTAACTGTAAACAGCATTTGAAGTACGAATGTTATTCAGCTTCTATTGGCGCAAACGGCTTTCGTGTTCCCTCCAATTCATGGTGGGTGTCACGTGACGGCGAAAGCATGACGTACTGGCCTGGAGGGGATCCCAAACTGGGAGGATGCGCTTGTGAAAGAACAAATACATGCGCTGGCGGTGAGTTCGGTGAGTTACCCCGGTATGTTATGTACCCTGTATTTAAAATTTTACATTAACCATTGGAAGTACTGAATACTTCACGAATCCAATAATCTGCACTTAAATTGTGCTTAGCGGGTCGTCACATAGGCTACATTGTATCTGACATCGAGCTACGTTAGAACCCGCACTGTGTTTTGATTCAAATATTTGTTAACTGCCATAAAAATTATTTCCTCTGTTTTTGAAAACTTGCACAGGTTACTATTTTATGTTTCTAAGGGAACAAGTGCAACTGCGACATGAACGACCATACTTGGCGTCAAGACGAGGGCTACATCACTGACGTCACTAAACTTCCGGTGTCAGAGCTGAGATTTGGCGATACAGGACGCAANTGAGATTTGGCGATACAGGACGCAACGATGAACTCGCCTATTTCACATTGGGACCGGTCCAGTGCGAAAATTAACATTCTTAATGAACATTATAAGCGTTAAATGTAATGTTTGAATCGGACGGCGACACCATACGGTAGCATGGTCGTGCTAGCACGAAAATTCATGCGTTAGCACTCCTATCATTGACGATTCTGATGTAGGCCCTACTGTCTGTGTAAACAGACAGTAGGCCTACATATAAGAATCGTCAATATGAG